CAAATACCTCAAGTCAATGGTCAATATATTATTGAAAGGAATGGATCAGTTCACACTACTTGTACTTCAATGGAAGCCTTACCGCAATTGCGAAGGATCCCACAAAGCCGAAAGTTTTTCGTAAAAATCCATCGGCTGTTCGGAGGCGGCTTAGAATAAATTGTAGTTAGGTTGCTCGAGAACAGTGACCAAGAACTGTCACCCCCTAATCCAGGGAATCACGCGAACCAGGCTGGGTGTATGTTGTACATAATCTGACAGCGAGCCGCCACTGTAGGTAACGGTGGCTTTACGGTGACCTTAAACCTAAACGAAACTTTAAACAAGGAGAGGGAGTAGAAAGCCAGGAGAACGCCCTCTAGAGCCTCCCGGGGAAGGGTGAACGAGGATGATTCCGATGCGCACAATATGGCCTTGACAAGACCTACTAGTGAAAATGAACTTTTTGCCAGTCTTAAAAAGGATAACGTGGTTGTAACGACATTAAAGATAGTCTAAAGGCTAGGTGCGGTAGTAAATCTGTCTTCCACCTTATTCCGAATTTCAGATAAATCGAATATTTCGGTCTCTGGTTCACATCTAGGAGAGAAGAGTAGTATTTCTCTTGATCTAAGTAAACGGCCACCTAAATACCGATAAATTCGACTTTTCCGAATAGGTGGATCTCTGGTCCACTTACCGGTGAGAAGAGTAGTCTTTCTGCTAATATAAGCAAAGGCCAGCCTATGTTTCTATTTTCAAGCAAATCGATCCACAAACAGAATTGGTTCGAATAGTTCGGTCTCTGGTCCACTTACCGGAGAGAAGAGTAGTCCTCCTTCTCGCATTCAATTAGGTCAAACCATTGTCCACTCTCCAAAAAAGCCATAGAAACAAACTGACAAATTTGTGTAATCTGCCGAACTGTACCGGAGATCACTAGAAGCAAACATACACACAAACGTGGGATATAATATATAGATATTATATGACGATGTGTATAGACCAAAAGAGGACAACTTTTAGAAAGTCGAAAAGAGAAATAATTCTGTGCTCTTTAGAAGTATGTATGCATGAAGTGAATAAAATATGTTGGGTTACACTAGTTGGCTGGCGTACATAGGTCTTGCCTTGGTCTTTTGCAGTACCAGGTTCGAGTTGTAGTAGTCGTCATATTGGACTCCACGGTTAAAACTAAAACGTCCTACAGTGCCCTGAACTGGGAAGCTCCTCGTTCTCAATAGACCGCTTAGAAACAGCAGTACTCTAACGACGCACTCGTGTGCCTGTTGGATGAACCAGTGAAATAGAAAAGAGGAAAGAAAAGAAAATGATTTGCAGCCATTGAACGCTACAGAGTTTTGTTGTTGTTTGATTTGCATCAGTAATAGCAATGATCCCAATAAATGCAAAAATGTCCTAGGCATCGCACTTAGCAACGTTTTTTTTGGCTTTGTTGGCATTCTCGTTGGTAAGTACTGCTAGCTAGACTTTTCTTCTCTCTCTCTCTCTCTCTCTCTCTTTAGTTTAGCAAATTATTTTGTAGTGATTAAATGTGTTGTTGTTGTTGTTGTTCTCATTAATATTTGCATCCTCATTGCTTTCGAACTCAACACCCAAATGTGTTGTTGTTATGCCTGCGCAGCGCATCTTCTTCGTTTTGTAATAGTTTTGTGATCTTATCGATTAGACGAATAGTGTCAGAAAGAAGTCTTTGCTGTTCGGCAAAGTAAATGGTAAACGCTTTATTTTCAAATACAATCCTAAGTATGCATGTGTGGGTTTATGCGTGGATGAATATGCGATTGCAGTTTCGGTTTTTCGTATGTTCATTTAAGATTATTCAGAAGATATACAATACATACACACATATGTATATATGTATTAGCTTTTGGCTGTTCATCGAAACACAATCAAAAGTGCCAAATACACGCAAATCCTCATATGTATATGGTGCATATTAAATATATGTATGTGAGCGTATTTGTATGTTATGTGTTTAATTGGGTAGAAAATATTTCTTTTTATAACAGACTCTATTGGCCAGCCAGGAGACTTTGGCGGCCTTATCAACTCGTCATCAACAATTGTAGGAAGTGTTGGAGCTCGCTGGCAGGTCAACTTAATATCTCCATAATCTGGGTGCACAACCATACGAATATTTGAGGTGACGAGTTGTCCACGTCGGGAGCATCACTTGTCGAAGGCGATGCGGAGTTAATACTATGTACGCCATGGACGACAAGGGAAGAGTTCCAATTAGAGTTTTAGCAAAAAGCTTTAAATAGCGAAGGATTTTTGATACAAATATGAAGATACTAAAAATTAAGAGCTCATTTAACAGATGTAGAAAAAGTATATATATAAGAAAATGAATCGAACCATAAACATGATTTTTCAATTATAATGTCCCCAGGCCCACTTCCAGGAAGTAAAATTGTAAAATTGTAAATTTGTCATATTCATTTAGACCCAAAGCTACTGCTGCGTTTAATATAAAATTTTCGGATAGATCGGAAGAAAAAGTATTTCCAGTGCCAATTTAGGCGAAGTGCTACCGCTGTGCAGAATTTCATAAAAGTCGTGCGAATTAATTTCGAATAGATCGGCCCCAGTTCCACATACCAGAAAATCCTGCCTTATCCGATGAATACGTAGAAGGTCTCTACGATCAATGGTTTGGGCTGAAGCTTCAACCGGCAGTCATCCAGGACAATGCATTTTAAATAAAAATATAAAACTAAAAAAAGTCCGTTTGGCTTTGAGGAAAAACAGCTTTTAAATCTCTTCTTCGGTCTAAGTGTCCAAAGAACGCATTATGGCTTGTTACTCCTTCGTGGAGTTTTGGTTGTTACCTTCACTACGATCTAAGAAACACCACATATTTTCCATGATTTCAGCTCAAGAGTTACCGAAGCCCATTCAGCAATGCCCATCTTTTGCTGCAGCATCCAATTTGAGGTTTTATGTGAAGCGTGGCAAGCTCACTTCTAAAAGCGGTAATTTATTTCCATGCAGAGTATCTCGTACAGCTCACGGTTCCATCGGTTTGTCGTTTCCAACGCGCCAAGTACTATGCATTTAACTCAAAAACCTTTCTCTGGAAGGCTTTCAAAGCCGATTCATCAGATGTACACATCATCGTCGAATTTATAACTGTTAACAGTGCAGTAGGAGCCGAGTCGTGAATTCGATGATTGTTTGTTTGATGACAGGAGGTATTTCGTTATGCCCTCGGCCACTAGCAGACCCTTATCTTTCGCTTCCTTACCCAATCTAGATACTGGCCAATGATATCAATATCGCCTTAGAAGATTGTACCTTCTTTATTCAACTCTCACGATCCTGACGGTATTTTGGTATTCAATCTACATAGCCACATAAGTTTTGCATGGAATCTGACATAGTCATAGCGTCGAAGGCCGCTTTAAAATCGCCGCTAAGTTGATGTGTGTCGATCCTCTTCTCACGTGTGTTTTCCAAAATTTTTCGCATAGTGAATATCTGGCCAAAGATTTTTAAGACCAATTAGTTTGTTGTTGGTGAGCTTTAGTTTTTCAAACATTATGCACTTTAACACCTTATAGGCGCAGACTGAAAGACCACTCATTTTGTAATTTGGGCAGAGCACACTTAAGTTCCAATCATCGGACAAGCTTTCTTTCTAACATACTTTGTGAAGAACCTCATACATGCAACCTATCAGCTTTTTGCAGGGTTTTTTGAATGACTCTACCGGCAATTCAGCGGCCTTAAAAGTCGTAGTCGTAGTGCAGTGACCGCTAAAAATAGTCTCCAAGCCGGGATTGACGGCCAAAAAGGTTTTGTTGTGTGTTTAGTGGGATTGGCAAGGAATTAGCCACTATGAGCTTTTACTCTACTGCCACACTGTTAATTCGGACCTCTGCTGCCAGTATTCGGTCCGTCTGGAGGAAACAATCGCCCAGAGCCGCTCAGCTTTGGCAAACAGGAAGGTATATGTGTTTCAGCAGAGCACCACCAGACCACACAAATCGATAGAGTTTCGCCGAAAGCTCCGAGAGCTTGGTTGGGACACCGTAGCAAGGGTTTAGGATCTGGTCCTGTCTACGGTGAATCATTTGGCTAGTGAAAACCGCAATTGAAGTCTGTGAAAATCGATTGTGACAAGCTTTTGCCCATAGAGACAAGAGATTTTATGAGGGAGGCATAATGGCATTACCTTCAAAATGGCTAAAAGGTGCATATAGTCGCACGATATAAACTGGCTATTTCTAACTATGGTAAATAAAGACTTCGATTTAATGCAAAAATAATGTATAAACTTTAATAATTTTAGAATTATTGCATAATTGTGTATATATATATATATATATATATATATATATGTATAACTAAAATTGCATGGTTTCTACTTATGACGGTATGGATTTGAAGTTTTTAAATGTACCTATAATTTTATGGCTACTTAAATGAGCAATTCTATAAATTTAGCCGCTGTGTCGTATGAGCAACTACAAACGACTACAGTATAAAGGTGTTGTTATGCTAAAAGCACATACAGAGCTTATATGGAATGACTGGTAGACAAATGGCAAATACTACAAACAATACAATACTAACAAATACTTACAAGCAAATGCAATGGTTTTTAGTCCCTCCGACGACCAACTAAGATCACTCACCAACACATTTATGTTAGAACAAAACCGAATTGCAATGCAATGCAATTAATTGCGCTGATATTTGCAATGTTTACATCGGTGTACATATCTATATCTGTGTATGCATATGTGTATGCTTGTGTGCTTGTATTTTCAGTGAAATAAATTTTAATCGCTCTGTATTAGTGCACCCTTTGAATCAATGTTTATTTGTGTTATTTTCGTTAATTCATTTTGATTATTTTGAGATTTTCCCATCGTTTTTTCGTTTCGTTTCGTTGCGTTTCGTTGAACGAGAAGCAATGCTGAAATTTTTGCCTTAAATTGCCATACAATTTTTTCCCCAACCAAATACCAGCAGCAACAGTGGTGATATAAAGGCCCAGCAACGGGTTCGTCATTCCATTTGTTGTTGAGTTAGGGCGCCAACGAGGACCCACACGAGAAAGCTCTATACAAAGATCGAGTTTGATTTACATACGTTTGTTGGCCGTAAGGTAATACGCACAGGCGGTGGTTCCAGAGAGATAGTCTTAAGTTAAAGGTTGAAGAAATTCAACGGCTCTTAGTTTAAAAAACAAAAAGCTTGAAGCAACTAATTGTTGAAATATTTTACAAAAAGGGGTTGATGTTGTGATTTCAAAAGGAGGTGTGACGGTGAAATTCAAGTACAATTTGGAAAGTAGTGAAATCAGTGAAAGCAAGTGAAAAGTGTTTAGTGAATAAGATAACTCTTGATATGGTTTAAAGTTTTATCAAAAAAATTTTTTTTTTAACATTTAAATATCAGATTACACAACTAAATTCGTTGAAACCAAATATAAATAAAGGACTAAAATTATTTCAGAAATTAACACAAAAAATTTTATGGGTAAAAAAGTTATTTGATTCTTCTTTTTTTGTGTTATTTGGAAAGTTTTCCGAAAAAAACAGGCAGAAGAAAACCGATTGTACTAAAAATTAATTAAAGTTACCAGTGAGTCATTACAACGAGAGGTAGATATTAAGAAAAAAAAACCCTATTGCAGCGCGAACGCATCAAATTATAGCTCTGTTGAGTTAGTCAGTAACGAAATGTCAAAAATGTGCTCTCTCGGTATAAATATTACGGAGTTTTTGTCTCCCCGTACGTGGTTCAGTAAAAATTGGTAACAATTCTTACTACGCAGCAGCACGCCGGACACACTGTATATGTATGTATTTGGTAGCTTGTGCACGGTTACGCAATCCGACAGTGCGTGCCCATTCCGCTGCTGCACTACGCAACGAAAGTTTTACGCAATAGTGTAACAGAAATAGTTCCCGATCAACATATGTATGTGAATACATTAACCCGAACAGATATCATGGTGAAATCATTACTAGATCTGTTCAGTGGACTCATCTCAATTTTTCTCACCTCAATTTTTCTCACCTTTTCTTATTTTTAGTAGGGAAAGTGAATTTTAGAGAGAAAGATTCTATAATTTTTTTTCTAATATTTAATATAAAAAGAATTTTATATGAAAATCGTTGTAGCGGTTATAAAGCCAGCATGTAATTACTAGTATATCTTTATATACTATCTATATAAAAGGCCTTGTTCCGAATGACTGTCAGTTCAACTCACAGCCAAAGCCGCTGAATGTAAGAATTTTCCGGAAAGTAGATTTGGGAACGCCCTAATATAATATAATTGGCGCATGGTAACTGCCTTTAAAAAAAAATGCTATTAAGGATTCGATTTGCTTGATATTTATATAAAACAAATTTTTTTATATTTTATAAATATTCAAACAATTCAACACAACCACTAATATATATGTATGATGTAGCTGGTAACCGTGCCTGGGACCGATCTATAGGCTAATATCACGTTTTTGGTTAAGTTTTAATATTTGAAAAATTAACAGCATCTTACTGATAATGCCGTGATTAAGTAAGTTACAAATTCGCTTTTGATTAGTTAACCTAAAAAGGATATATTAGGTGCTACGGGTTTTTCAAAAGTAGTTGTTCCGCTTTGTAACCGCTGAAGCGATCTACAGCTTATACTAGCCGCCTCCGAACGGCTGATGGTTTTTTTATGAGGAGCTTTTACTCCATGAGATAAATACCCTCGGTGAGGTTCAAATTCTCTGCCGAAGGGCGAGCGCAATTGGAAAATTTAACTTAATTTATTATTTAAATACAATTTCTATAACTTTTGGATAGAACATATCGAACTCTTCTACCTCGCACAAATTAGGCAAATAAAATAAAACAAATCAATACAATTTTAAAACATTAAATGCAATTTGATTGAAATTTTAAATTCTTCAAATTACTGTAAGTAAAAAATATTTTGATGAAAAAGCTCATTAAGCAAAAATGTCTGAAACTCCGACGGTTTGTAGTCATTTAAAATTATTTACCACATAATTATTCCTCTTTCTATAACCTATTTAAATCATAAATTAAAAATATTTTTATTAGATTAAAAAAAAAAAAAAAACAAACAAATATATACTTAACATAAAGAACTGAGTTTTCGAAAATAATCGTTTTGACTCGTAATCACTGTAAAAATATTAAAATATTAAAATAAACAGATTTAAAGCACAGTTCACGATCACGGCGTTCGCAATTTAAATCACTTTTAGCACAATTTTAAATAAAATATATAAAAACGAAACAAATATTTCAAAATAATTCGAAAATCATATCGGTAAAATAACAACAACAAAAAATTTGTAGATAGTTTATGAAATATGATTGACAATTGATGTTGAGAAATTTAGAAAGAATTGGCCATAGTCGGCAGCATTGTACTGCCTTTAGACTCTACATTGGTCGCCAGTTAGAGTAGACTTTAGTTAGAGTGACACCATGGTGGAATCATTACAAAGTGTGATCAGAAAACTCAACTCGTCTTTCGGCAGTCTTATTCCGGGAAAGATTTTTAAGGCAGCAAGCAGAATGGTTTGAATAATTTATACCTTTTTACTTTTTTTTATATAATTTGACTGCCTACTCGTTGCTATTTAAAGCTTCCCTCTTATATAATATGTTAAAAAAAATACTTGAATTTTATATTATATACAATTTAAATGGATAAAATGATGCCGAATAATGATGAAATGAATTTAAAAGGCTTAATTATCAATCTTGGTAAATTTCATTAAAAAAATAAACAAAAACACCTGTTTCAACTCATGATCAGGATCGCCTTTACAATTAGATCTGGAGTTTCATTTTGGGCAGCCAAGCTCAAAGTTATCAACTTGAATATACCACTTTTTTTCTTTATACGATATATGGTACATATGTATATCTGAATTTTAAGTTCATTCTGTAAAGACATGACTTTGTTGGAATATTTTCAATAAATTCCATCGAAAAAAACATTTCTTATATTTTCAGTTGAAATAAATAGTTTTTACACCGATACAACAGATAAAATAGAGTCAGCTTGGAATGAAGGGCCATTTTGAAAAGTGACTGAATGGAGTATTTATAATACTATTTTCTACTACTTTCTGTAGTATTTTGCCATATTTTCAAAAAGATTGCCGATTTTGTCAGAACTTATTGTTTTACGGAGCTTTCGAACACAGCTTTTCTAATTACACCATGACTTAAACAATCTTCTACTATATTTCGTTTCCAAATCTATTACTATATTTGACAATTTTGACTTTTAAAGTGTTGCCTTTTTAGAAGTATTTTCTTTGATACCACGAAATGGACCTTGATTTAAGAGCCGTCTCCAAATGAAAAAGTCGACTCTAACTCCATATTTATGGCAGCCGTAATAGCCGAGTGGTTAGTAGTGGGAATGATCATGGGTTCATTGAAATCATAGAAAATTAGTTGAAAAGAAATAAAATTATTTTTCTAATTGTCGTTGTCTCGCAGCAGGGCATGTCAAGCCCTACGAATGCATTCCTGATATGAAGACAAAAAAAGCTCCTCATAAAAATCACTTCATTGGTTACAAAGCGATTATATATGTATATACATTTATTTAACTTCATCTGGCAACTAATTATGAGAAATAATATTTTTGACAAAAATAAAAAATATTGAAAAAAATGATCTCTTAAAGCTTGAAGGCTTTTGAAGCTTTTCTCAAAATGTTTTCTAGAATTCATTTTTATGAATTTATTATAAATTTTTTGTCAAATGTAGGTTAATTTAGCAATATCTCAATGTTTAAACAATAAATAATCAACATTATTTAATAATCTTCCCATTGCAGAACTTAACTACCTACCAAAATGTGTGACGATGATGCGGGTGCTCTTGTTATTGACAATGGGTCTGGTATGTGCAAAGCCGGCTTCGCTGGTGATGATGCGCCCCGTGCCGTATTCCCCTCAATTGTCGGCCGACCACGTCATCAGGGTGTGATGGTGGGTATGGGTCAGAAAGATTCCTATGTTGGTGATGAGGCGCAAAGCAAAAGAGGTATACTCACGTTGAAATATCCGATTGAACATGGAATCATTACAAATTGGGATGATATGGAGAAAATCTGGCATCATACCTTTTACAATGAATTGCGTGTCGCACCCGAAGAACATCCAGTATTATTGACTGAAGCGCCACTCAACCCAAAAGCGAATCGTGAAAAGATGACTCAAATTATGTTTGAGACATTCAACTCACCGGCCATGTATGTGGCCATTCAAGCCGTACTCTCCTTGTACGCTTCCGGTCGTACAACCGGTATCGTATTGGACTCTGGTGATGGTGTATCCCACACTGTACCCATCTATGAAGGTTTCGCTTTGCCACACGCTATTCTGCGTCTCGATTTGGCCGGTCGTGATTTGACCGATTATTTGATGAAGATCTTAACTGAGCGTGGCTATTCGTTCACCACCACGGCTGAGCGTGAAATTGTGCGTGATATTAAGGAGAAATTGTGCTATGTTGCTTTGGACTTTGAACAGGAAATGGCCACTGCCGCTGCATCCACCTCATTGGAGAAGTCGTATGAATTGCCTGATGGTCAAGTGATCACAATTGGCAATGAACGTTTCCGTTGCCCAGAGGCATTGTTCCAACCCTCGTTCTTGGGTATGGAATCGTGCGGTATTCACGAGACTGTCTACAATTCAATAATGAAGTGCGATGTGGATATCCGTAAGGACTTGTATGCCAACTCGGTGTTGTCTGGCGGTACCACCATGTACCCAGGTAAGTGATGGAGGGCAGCAATAGAGTTCTAAAGAATATTATTCTACTAAAAACCAAATTAATTATTATTATTTCTCTCCACTTCCTCATTCCAGGTATTGCTGATCGTATGCAAAAGGAAATCACTGCCTTAGCGCCATCGACCATTAAAATCAAGATCATTGCACCACCTGAGAGAAAGTACTCCGTTTGGATTGGTGGTTCCATCTTGGCTTCCTTGTCTACCTTCCAACAGATGTGGATCTCCAAACAGGAATACGACGAGTCTGGCCCTGGCATTGTGCACCGCAAATGCTTCTAAATCTTTTGATAGTGAACGAAGGCGAAAGGCTTGAGTAAACACACTGCAGCATAATGATTAACAACAAAAAAAGAAGACCAGCAGCAGTGAGATATTACAACTCAAGCTAAAAGAACAATCGAATTTGGAATACTTCATTACACAACTACAACAAAAATAATGTGTATATGCACCCTCCACTCAAAGTATAAATAACAACAACAGCTACAAGCATATTGCTAATAAAGCTCCAAGCCTAGCGAAGACAAGAACCTCAAGATGATTAAGAATAAGACCAGTACACAACGAAAGCATCTGGATAAGCACAGATGCGTCATCCGTTGCCGATTCTTGAGCATAAACGCGCGTTTGCGCGTACAATTTTCACACTATTTCTAGTTCCGGATTTTATAATATAAAATTTGTGTAAAACTGAAATTGTAATTTTAATTTTAAAATTTATCAAAAGAGGCAGACGAAAACCAAGTTAAATGTAAATTCAAAAATATAGGAAAAAATTTCTAATATTTAAAAATGAACAACAATTTATTAATTAAAAATATTAAATGAAGACATGTTTACATTACCAAGGCATAAAAAAAAACGACATAAATGTTGAACAAAACCATAAAAAAATTTTATTATTAAAACCAAAGTGCTTTTCTATTTCATCTTTTATTTAAAATTATATTAAACTTAATTAAATGAACAACAAAATCTTGAAGTGAATTGAATTTTTTCGAAATAAAAAAAGTTTGTGATGTTACAGCTCTCAGCGAAAAGAATTGATATTTAACATTAGTCGTTTTGAGGCAGGAGGACTGCGATTCTTTTTCTGATGTTTAACGGTTTAAACTTGCGAGAGGGCTCCACGTTTGTACAAATATAAGCCAATGAACATCGGTGCTACGACACGATACTACATAACCAACACTATACATAGATAAATTTTTATTTACATATAAGATCTAGTAAAAATGTATCCTTTATTTTTGCAAAATATGACTTTGATGATATGTATCTCGCGTTCTATAAGTGCAATGAGACTACCCTAGATGGTGTTAAAAAGATGACGTTTTGTACCAAAAAACATAAAGGGAGAAGTGTTGATCTCTTAGCTTAGGAGTGTTTGAGCGCAGGCCAAAAATCCACTCCAACAAAGAGAAAACCCGCTAAAACAAGGGAAATTTCTGAGCCTGAGGTTCAGACGAGCAAAGTTTCGCCTGCTAAATAATGCCCAAAAACAGTTTGGGATCTCTTGAAAAGAGTTGGACACACAAAAAGCTCGATGCATGAGTTACCGAGAAAAATCCTCATGGACCAAATTTTCATCTGCGAATCGCTGCTAATTCGTATAAAATCGACCCATTTCTGGTGCGGCTGGTGACTGCTGATGAAAAGTGGATCACTTACACCAACGTCAAATGAAAGCGGTTCTGGTCGAAGGGCAGTGAGTCGGCACAAACAGTCGCCAAGCCAAGGTTTTGTTGTGTGTTTGGTGAGGTGGGCCCAACATTGGCCAACAGAAGGTCTATTGTGTTTCATCAGTACAATACCAGGCCACCAGGCCATCGATAGTGACTTGCCATACGCTCCGAGAGCTTGGTTTTTGAAGTTCTGATACATCGACCTCATAGGCCGGGCCTCGCACCAAGTGACTACCATCTGTTCCTGTCTGATTTAAAAATTGATTGTACCAATTTTTTTTTGCCAATAACAGCCGGTTGTAACGACAGCACTTCGTCTAAGAAAGTCAAATTAATGGATCCAAAATATTATTTCAATACGATTTCATACCAAGCTATGCAGATGGTTAAGGTTCAATTACATTTAGTGATAATTACTTCAGCGGTGAAGATGGTTGAAAGCTTTATAGAGTGTCAGCAGAGGTGTAGTTTCAGGCAACTCTTCTAAGGAGCTCTGTTTCAGGCTACCTGATCATTGCAGTGTTTTTCAGGAATAGACATCTGCTTTCCTGGAGGCAGCAAAGATAACAATATCATCATATCCAGCGACAGTCAGGCAGCAGTAAAAACACTTTGCTCTTTTACACTAAATTCAAAAATAGTCCTGGATTGTCACCGATCTCTACAGAAGGTGACCAAGCCGAAGAGAGGGACATTAAGAGAAACGGTAAGGCGTATGAACTTGCTAGGCAGATTCTTCTCGATAAAGAACGTTTCGGTGTGCCTTTTGCCAGATAAACTGCTTCTAAAGGATTTTATATATGAGCAATCCACGTTTAGGTGGAATAAAACTACAATCTGCCGCAAATCTAGTTACACCTGACGGAAATGGAATAGGTAAAGATCAATAGATATGTACTACTTACTACCAAAGTAATAGAAGTTCTAAAAGGCCATTACTTTATACGGTGACAGGTGGAGAGTCTAATGGCACGTCTATAGAATTTGCTGCTGAAGATGCACGGATGATGAGCCAAAGGCAACGATGATCCATATCTTATGCAATTGTGCTGTTTTGAGTAGTGCTAGGATTGGGCTTTTAGGACTCTAATGTTGGATACATTAGATTGCCGGCGTCAAAGTAATCGATCTAATGAGGCTCGTTAGAGAATCAAAATGGCTGGATGTTGAAGCCTGATGATCAAGTTTTTGTAGCATCAAAAAAGTTTATAGTCAGGCCTAATTGTAATCAATACGATAGAGCGATAGCTACCATAACCTCACCTATCGCGCTAAACGGTGCATATTTGACATAACACGGATAATTCTATTGTAAAAAACTCATCACGAATTTAATGAAAAAATTGTGGATGACTTGTTACTTGGCCTATGTTGCCTAAAAACTCCGAAACTCCTAAACTAATTTTTTTTCAAATTTCCAGGATAACTTCAGTGAAACCCGGAGAATGTTCTTGTAGGGTTTCTGGGGGGATTTATACATAAAAGATATATGTACATGTATTGATGGCTCCGAAACAACTTATTTATTGTTCGATTTACTTGAAATTCGCTACACAGATCGATTAAGATAAGGACTTCCGGGAAGTGGATCTCGGACCGATCTACCTAGCTAAAATGGCAACATTAATATAGATGCATATATCAACTATATAATAAGTATTAACAGCATTATTATTTACCCTTATTCTCCTTAGCGACGCCAATTATAAAATCTAAATTTAAATATATATAGAAAAGCGCAACAGCAACACCAACGTGTGGCAGTGTGTGCGTGTGTGCTAATAAATTATTATTATAAATAAATATAGTAATGAAACAACTTTTCCGATGTGTTTAATTACAGTGTAATACAATGTTTGTGTATATTTATTTATTTATTTTTTTTTAATTTGCATAAATCTTGGCATATAAAATTTCTCAATTAAAACTTATGTATGTATATTACAATGATTATAACCTACATATTTATACAGGATACATATACACATGAATAAATTATTTTTTGTTTATAATATTTTGCATTTGAAAATAATTTTACCATTTTACTATATGTACGTACATATTATTTATATGTATGTATGTATATAGCACGTTATCAATTTCAAAGCTACACTGCCTAATTTTAACCGTTATGCAGATGTTCTTATGGATGGATAACAAGTTGTAAAGACTTGCTTGGCACAAAGTTTGGTGTATTACATACATACATATTGAGTATGTTGTAAATATGATTTAATGAATATTATTATTGGCAGTGAATGCAAGTGTAATGAATAAAATGATAACGTACGGCAATTATGGCTGACATTTCGCTTGAAATAAGGTAAGATATTTTCAATTTCAGCCAGTTTGTTGTTGGTAGAATATTTTAAGCGAGTCATTGTATCGAACCCGCGATCAATGCAATTCGCAGCCGTCATACATTTGTGGTTAAAAATGTTGAAATTAAGCAAAAAAAAAAAAATAAAAATTATTTATATACATATATAAATATTAAAATATATATTGCATTTATATGCACATACATACATATGTATAATGAAATAAATTGTAAACAGTGCTAAATATGCTTATTACATCATAGATTGGCTTACAGGGAAATGTTAATGTTAAACATTTTATTTATTTAGGTATGTTTTTTTGTAAAAAAAAAATACTTAATTTTCTTTGTTTATTATGGCATACAATTAAATTGGTTTGAGTGGTTTTTTTTCACTTTCAACAATTTTTCCAGCTGCTTATGAACACTTCAATTTTTCATTTCCCTAACATATTTTGCTTTGCTTTTACATGTTATGAGTATTTTGGCTTAAATAAATATGTACATACATATAGACATATAAATTTTAATAGTTATCAATGAAATTTGGTATGATTATAAATTCATAAATTCTAAAAATGCTAAAAAATTATTTATGCATTTAAAATACACTATTTTTGTTTATTTTTACAGTTATACATAAATATGTACATAAACTTTATATGTAGTGTACATTGATGGCAGTATGATATACATATATACATACATATACATAAGGTCATATATGAATAAACAAATAGACACATACATATTACATTTGTATCTCTGGCCCTTATCTCATTGTACGCACGATGACTTTCACAGAAAATAGCGTTTGTACGTATGTATATATAAATATAGTAGATACGTTTTAATCACTTAAAACTTTTTACTTGGAGATTTTTAATTTTTATTTATTAATTTTTTTTTTTGCTTTTTTCATTTCGAAGTATGTGAAAGTTATATTTTGTTTATTATTATTTTTATTATTTTCATTTTAATTTTTTTTTTTTTGAAAACTATCTTATTTTCTTTCACTTAAAAGCTCTTCCTAAATATTATAATTATAAGCACCGTTTTACTTATTTTTAAGAAAAACAAAATTATATTGCCATAGTTCATGCAAAAACAAAAAAAAGAAAAAAAATAATTAAAAAAAAAATTTAAAAGAAATAAAAAAAACAAAAGGATTTAAAAAGGAAATTAAAGACTTAGGGACATTTCTTCTATTGCCTGTAAAAATTTAACTTCTCTTTAAAAACGTTTTGGTTTTTTCAACTGCCTATTTTCGAATGTGGCTATAAAATTTATCCGGCGGTTAAAGCGTTGGTTAACAATTTATTTTTTCGACAGCGACATCTGTTCTGTTTACAAGCGAAAAAATGTGGATTTATAAATTTACTTATTTGCTTTTGCCATTACATATAAATATAGTTGAAAATAGACAGGTAGTTTAGATTCAGGAGCTTGAGGAAAGGTTTAAAGAAGCCTCAGTGCGCCAAAGAGATTTTACTTTATTTATGTTTAGAGCAACTGATTTACGTTGTGCCTTTCTTTCTCTTCGCAGCACTGTCACCTTTTATCTAATAACAAAAAAAAAGAAAAAAATAAAAAATAATTTAAAAGGAGGTCGAGAAAAGGAAAACGAATTTATAATATCGTTAAATTTAACTGCCGGTTTCGTGATCCTCACATTAATAGGCACTCGAAAAAATGGCCCTAAATGAATTTAATATTCGAGTCAAATTTATTACTTGCTGCCTGGGTGGGGTTAGTAATATAATTTAAATTATTAATTATTTAATAATTGATGTATGAATTTAATATTACTTATATAATCAATGCGTTGTTTTGAAAAATAGTTTTTTTTTTGTGATTTTCATTTAATCTAATTTTTTGAGATTTGTTTCGCATTTTCATTTATTTATTTATTATTTATTTTAGTTAATTTTTTTTTTGGCAACAGTTAGCGCTGACACCAGCCCAAGCAGCAATTAATTACAAATAATAGATAAAATATTTGAAAAACCCTAAATATTCATGTTTGAATTTTAATCTCCGATTTTTTTGAGATTTTTTAATTTGTTTTTTCTTGCAAATAAGTGAGTGGAGAGGATATGATGCGAAAAGGAAGGCAATTTGACTCAATATAAAAGTGACACTAACAGATTTTTCGACATCATATCTTATTTTCATTTGAACTTCAGAATATTGTCACTTTTAAAATTTTTCATATATACAAAAAATAAAAAAAATAAAAGAAAAAAACACTAAGTAGTCTGAAAATGCTTCTATTTCCTTCAAATTTTAGAAAATGCAATGCAAAGCTTTTAACTTTTCTTTATTTCTTGTTTACTTTGAAATGTTGAAAATATATATTTTTTTTTAAATAAAATTGGCAATAAAACAAAAGTCAAAAAATCTCTTTTTATCAGAGAGTTAATATTTAAAAAAATAAAAATAGTTCACTACTTTAATGCTGGCAATTTAAAGTTTTTATTCTGTTTTGTGTAATTTAATTACTGTTTAGATAGGAGGTTAGAAGTGTTTATGCTGAAAAATATAATTTTTTTTTTGCTAGAAATTAATGCGTAACGTGGCAATTCCAAAAATTAAAATTATATATTTAGTTGCTACTAGTTTTCTGGCGTTAATTTGATGTTACTCTTTTCAAATTGAATACACCTTCTCTTTTGTTCCATTAAAATAAGTTTGCTTAAATTAATATATATATAATTAATACATATATATATATATAATTAATAAATATATAATTAATATATTAATGTATATGTAAATTTGATAACTTCTTCAAGGGGATATGCTTTTAGACAAAAAATATTTTCTTTTTTCGTAAAATAATAAATGATTTGCTCTTTCGATTTTGTAGCTCGTTTTTACTAAATGACAAGTAGAATAGACATTTCATACACACATACATAATTATTGTTAACACTTTTTTTATTAAACTTCTAACAAATTTAGTTATTTCTTGGTTTCCAAGTTAATACTTGCAATGTATTGAAAATTTTGCTCGAAAAAATAAAAATAAAATTTTTGTACGAGTACGTAAGAGATTATTATACGCTTACAGCTCTAAATTTTATATATGTATGTACCATTTATAGCAGGAGTTGAGAAAATTCAACTTTCTGCTTAACTTACGTTAAATAACTTTTACGGTTTCCATGCGCTTCATTTCACAATTTTCACAAGCATATATGTATGTATATCTTTTTGCAGTATTTGTTGTAATATTTGTGGCTATTAATGGTGTGTTTTTCCATTGGCAGTTTGTAGCATCAATCTGAGCACCACAATTTGAAACCTTTCGCTATTTTCACCAATTTCGACAATTTTTTTTTCCTTTTTTTAATTTTTGTGCCTTACATAGTTTTTTGTTTTTGTTTTGTCAATCAGTAGTTTTTAAAATGACATTTTGTTTCATTTCATCTTTACGTTTGGCGCATATTGTTATATTGTTTTTGTAATTAGTTCTGATCGATTTTATTGTTGCTGTCTGCTTTGTGTTATTGGTTAATTGTTTTTTTTTTGTTTTGACAATGAAATGACGTCACCAGGTCATTTTATGGCACATAAAATTTTGCACATCAATTGCCAGTCTGAATAATGCTCGCGTCAAAATTTTTGACCACATCTACCGACATCTGGTTCTGAGTCAAGACCACTCTGGTTGGTATTCAGCGACTATGCAAAAAATAAAGATTTAATGAAATAAAAGTTGTTTAATCAATTCTTTTGTATGGTATATATGTACAAATGTATGTATGTATATTTTACCCAACAAAAATTTTGTATCCACACTTAGGTTAGTCCAGCCGGTGTGTGATCACACATCCAGGTACAGACCGGTGCTGGAAATTTGGCAACGTCCACAATAACCACCACAGAAGGCGCGACGTGAGGCGGTCGAGGTGTCGAACTGGAATGAGACAGAAGGAAATGGGTTGAGTAAGACTCCTTTGTGAAACATATAAAATAACATATCAAAACACATCAATACATAACCATATTTTTTCCTTCAGGAGGTTATGTTTGGGTTAAACTTTTATTAAAAAATTTGCTTTTGTTTGAAACTTTATATTTAGTGCATTTCAGTTTTGCCTTGGAATCCAACCCTGAGTCATTCTCGCCCATCGGTGCTACTTCGGACTGCGTGGGCAATTGAAATATAAAGTCCTCTTACGACTAACCAAAGCCCAACTCTACAAGCCACTCATCATTCGACCGACCTGAATGAAAGCGCGCCGGTTTTGAAAGTATTCAATGCCATACCTGCCGGTGGCAGCAGAAGAAGAAAAGAACCTCCAATTCAACCTGTTATCGTTGGTATTTGCAGCTAGCACTAATATTGATTCGACTATAATCACGTAAGCGATTATGAAGACGTGTATAGATGGTTAAGCTAAATATCGCTTATTATGAGAAATTTCAAATTGTTGTTGCTGTAGCGGTTCGCTTGCCTCGCTTTGGAGAAAGCAAGAACAGTCTAAGTCATCGAGTTGATGTAACGGCAGGTCCAGGAAACGAGCTATTTCGATGGGTTCGAACCAGAGGAGAAGGGGAGTTCGATGTGTTCGTATTAGTGGGCCTGCAAAGCAGTCGTTAGAGTCGTGTGGTGTCGCGACTCTCACTACAGCCGATTCGCTAAGCATCGGAGTTGACTACTGCCAAGGGCTGTCATACTTTCGGCAACCTAACCTCGTTTAGCACCTAATATTACTCAAGAAATTAAAAGACATTTCAACCGCCCAACGCTTTACAATCTAGAATAAGCACGACCGAGATGTACACGCTAAAGAAATTCCAACAAAAGCGTGGAGATTTATATATATAGTTATTTACACCCCAAATTTTCAACAATTACTTACCGGATTGGATACTTTCATAACAACACTATGACCAAAGGTGTCCCAACGCGTCCCAGTCCGTATGCGAAAACCGGTATTCTCCAAATTAATTGAGAAATCACCTTGCGGACATTCCTTATTACGATTGTAACAATCACCCGCTGAACCATACAGTTGCGGATTGCCGAGTATTTCGGCAAATGTGAAATCATTTTCAATTACACGCAAGTCCGGCAGCCTTATACGCAACTTCCGGAAATGTGTGCGACCTGAACTGGTACTATTATCACGGAATTCATGCATACGCGACACTGGTGGACATTTATCCGGATCTGTGGTTTTGTAATCATAGTAAATGGAATAGTTTTCCAGATGGTTAACGCTAATATATTCCGTCGGTGCGGTACTCATGTTATGGCAATAAACTTTACGCGCGCGTGATCGTACATAAATGGTATATTCACGATCCTGATAGTAACGATGTAGACGACGCAGGTCTTCACATGATTTTGGCATACATTCACGTGGTGGTGGTGGACATTTCTCTTTGATTAGTCGCTCTTTGGTGGGACAGGCAATACGTCGGCCGGTAGAATCATGACAAATGGTGCGGCGGCGTCGAAAACCTTCGCAATTGCACTATGGAAAATGAAAAATGGGCGATGCGGAGAGAGAGAGACAGAGTTGTTATTCATAAATTGGCATTTTGCTGAATTCTTTGCCACTTACCGGAGTTACGATTTTCGACTCCTTTCGCACGCAATTGTTGCAGATCTTTTTTGTTGTCGGCTTCTTCAACGGATCACAGTAGCGATAGGCAATCGGATTACCTAGCACAGACTCACAATACACCGAACGTGACTGATATTCTTCATGGCAGTCTGCCGGACATTGTGTCCAATCCGATGTGGACCACTTACAGCTGATTTTACATGGCTTGTGCATACGTTTCGGTGTGGGTTTGCGCAAGTGACGACAGTGATATGCGTCGATAATCACACGCCGTCGTGGCGCACCCTTGATCTCGGGCTTATAAACTCGCGCACAATGTATCTCTTTTTGTCGTACGCCATTACCACATTCCACCGAACACTGAATGAGTAGTAAATGAAAACATGTTAGCTGCGCGCTCTTGTTAAAGGCATCATCTTTAGTACACAACTTACATTCGACCAATTCGAAACATATTTGATATTGCAGCATTTACGTTTCGTGAGGGGTCTTCGCTCCATGGGACAACCATACCCAAGTGGATTGCGACATGTGACCGTACGATTCTTTTCACAATTATCATTACATTCACCCCAATCGTCGGCGACCCAGTAATTGGCGAATGAGCGCGCAGTGACCTGCGGGATTATAATGCATGGAGTGAATGAGTAAATGGAGTTGTTGGGCCATTGTCTTTTGCATATTACACTTACCAAATTATCATCGTAAGAATAGCATGGATCCGTTTTGCATGCCTTCAATGTGTCGCGAAAAGATTCACGCTTACGCTGGTCGCAGAAACTATCAGCCACGCGTGTGCCATTTAGTATACAAGCAACGCCTCGGGTTTGTGTGCCGGTACCACAGGACTTCGAGCACTGAGTGGTAAAGGGTTACATTTTTACTAACAAACATTAATACATATATTTATCTCTTATCTACAACTTACCGGTGACCACTCGGTATAATCCCAGCAACCTTCTCTGCACGATTCATGCGGACTAAATTCGAACTTGGAAAGGCAATATGACAAGTCGACTATATTTGACCGACTGATATGCGGGAAAGTTTGTATGCAATAATACGTCTTCTCACGCGTACCCAACATGCCACACGACGCCGAGCATTCCGAGATATTTGCAACATTCAAAGAGAGCACACAGTCGGTGTTGCACTGACGATATTCCGTTGGCGGTTTAGCAAGTTCATCACACAATTGTGGCGCCACCTTTAAGGCTTTGGTGGTGCTCACACAAACCGGCATACGATGCGAACTGCCATGACAGAGGGCATCACAAGTGCTCCACGGCTGCATTTCCCAGTTATATATCTCCACTTCGATTTCGGGTAATTGATAAATTGGATTATCCATTGTGTATGTGTAGCTGAGTAGTAATGAGTCATTGTCCTTTGGCGTACTTTTGCTTATAGAAATAATCTATTGTATGAAAAGCAAAAAATAAAATTCAAGCCATGAATTATATTCGGAATTGCATTGCAGCCAATTCAGTCGGCTCCAGTGCGGTGCCATTGGCGTTTCCCTAGAGTTGTTAACTCACCTCTACAATCAGATCACGTTTTAGCTTACGTGATAATGTGGTGTTTACACGCTCGACAACATTCTCAGCACCATTATATTCGAAAGTTAAACCTGCATAGAATCTTACATTACGAAAACTCGTAATGACATTCTTACCGTTGAGTATATAATTGCCCTCGTCATCGCGCAGCGCTATGTAATTTTCGGAATGATAACCGGGTTGGGTTATTACTATGTTAGAAGCACCTGTAAGAGTAGATAACATATGTAAATGTGTGTAAATAAAAAGCATACATAAGTGACTATTCAATTAAACAACAAAAACCAATGAAGAAACAACGGTGAATGATAAACTTGTTCTCATAAGAACATACATGTATACTAATTTATTTCCGAATTTAGAAAGAAATACCGTAGGAGGTTATGGCTGAGTTAAATTTCCTTAAGCGAAGTAAAATTGTCGAATTTTGAGCTCCGTAAATCCTCAAATAGTTAAAGGGATGCAGTTATATCCCATAGGTTGATTGTGTGGCGTTCTCTGTGGTTCGGAGGTGTGATTGGATCATACTTCTTTGAAAACGCCATCATCAAGACTGTCACTGTTAACTCGGAGCGTTATGGTCGAACCATAAAGAGATTTTTCTCTGCATTTGAAGAGCACTACTTGGAGAATATGTGGTTTCAACAAGTTGGTGTCACCGAATATGGCTTTATTGCGAGAGAAATTTCCCGGCAGCGTAAGTCCTCGTCTTTGCGTTGCCGATTGGTCACCGAAATCGCATGTCGTGGGGTTTCGCGGGAGACAGTGCGCGGATGCGGATAAACCTATAACTCTTGAGCACTTGAGAACTCACATTCGTGAAGTTATGGCTGAGACACTGCCCAATATGTGTACAAAAAGTGGTCGAAAATTATTTTAAGCGAATCGAAAATTGTGTGGTAAATATGTGTACCGTGCTTTTAGCGGTTAGAGCGCGATCTATATATACCTTACTGTATTTGAGGGCATTTTAAAAGGATATTAGGTTCGAAGAGTCACCGAATGTTACTCGCAGCTGATAAATAATGAAGGGGAAAGCCTTCTATGCCTTGAAATACATACACGTATCTATAAAGTGGGCAATTTTTTTTTTACAATTTTTATAGTAAAAAGATTTATTCAGATGAAAATAGTGTTGCTATAATGGTACTCGCTTACACATCGAAAGCTCACGCTTACCGAGTATAAATCAATAATAATAATTTAGAACGCGTGAGCGTCATTAATTCTTCCAACTGTCAATTAATGTAGACAATTTGATTGACAGTTCACTCCCATCTAGTCAGCGTGTGTAGCTAACGCAATGAAATTTATTTATTTTTTCAAAGTGGGTCTGTTTTTTTGCTTCCTTCTAACACACTTCTATATGAATGTGTGTGCGTATGTAAGCTGTGTATGAATAATTCGTGGAGAGTTTTGTTTCTATTTTTAAAATTGGCGCTATAAAATTGTCTACGTATTCTACAGTCTGTAATTATTATTTATAGTCAAAGAGTATAGTGTGCAGAGCATTTTAATTACAATACAACGGTGTACATAAAGGAGCTGACAGACACAGCATTAAATTTATTACATGTAGCATGAATCGAGGTGCCTGATTTTTTTTTTTTTTTTTTGAAAATTCGTTTGTTTTGCAATAAAAAAAAATCTTCTTATCGACAATACTCAAGTTGTAGTAATTAGTGCTCGAAATAAAAGTTTTCTGTGTTCGTTATATGTAAGTACCTTGGAAATAATGCGACTACTCCGTGCACGCCTGGAAAATAAAGTAATCCGAAACTAAACATGATCTATACCATATATCTGGTACAATAAACATTGCGATGCCCTAAGGCTCGACCTTATACCCTACTCCACCTCTGCATAAGATCCGAGTAATCCATGGAGTACATACAATGGATTACATTATGAAGTATACGAGTATACAAAGAATTTCACTCAAACGCACTTTTTAGTTGCGAATACAACATGCTTTCGTAAAGCATTAGAAAAACTTAATATTTTTTATATAAATTTAAATTAATATTGGATGAGTGCATAAGTTCGTGCCCGATTCCGCTGGTTGCCGTTCGAAGAGAGTGGCGTTTGAGAGTGGCGCATGTGAAAGAAATATATACATACTATGTATCGTTGGAAAGGTGACAGTCCGAACTGTAAATCAAGCATAAAATAACTCCACTTTGATTTGAGTTGCTTAGTGAAAAGACGCATGGAAGATGGACAACGAAAAAGATCATATGCGTCTTATTATGTTATACGAATTCCGCAAAGGAAAAACAGTAGGCGCTGCAACTAAAGATATTCGCGAAGTTTATTTGGACCGTGCTCCAGCACTCCGCACAGTAAAGAAATGGTTCGCGAAATTTCGTTCTGGAGATTTTAACCTCGAGGATCAACCTCGCAGTGGACGGCCTTCTGAGCTTGATGACGATGTTCTAAGGACTTAAGTTGCGAATAACACACGTATTTCGACGGCAGAGGTTTCCAGTGAATTGAACGTCAACAAATCAACTGCGTTTCGTCGTTTAAAAAAGGTTGGGTACACTTTGAAGCTCGATACATGGGTGCTACATCAGTTGAGTGGAAAAAACAAAGTGGACCGTATGTCAACAACAATTTCTTTGCTTCGACGGATAAAAACAAAGGATAAAAGCAAAGGAGTTCTCTTCCATCATGACAACGCCAGGCCACATGTTGCAAAAGCGACCCTGGCCAAACTGCAGGAGATGAATTGGGAAATCATGCCGCATCCCGCATATTCACCCGACATTGCACCTTCTGATTATCATTTGTTTCGATCGCTGCAGAACAATTTGAATGGAAAAAAATTTAAAAATGTGGAAGACGTCAAACACCACCTTGACACCTTTTTCAACGAGAAACCGCGCGATTTCTATGAATCAGGCATCCGTAATTTGGTTGAACGTTGGGAGTGGATTGCCGAACATGATGGCGAATACATAATTGATTAATAAAAGCACTTTCTTCAAAAAATTTCAATCGGGCACGAACTTATGCATTCATCAATACTAAAAACTATATAAAATATTTCAATTGGTTCTATTGATCTATATGCATTGGTACATATTAACTCAGCAGAGGTCAACAATACAACACAATGAAACTGACACAATTTCATTTTCACAAGCATAAAAAAAAGAGAAATGATCGGCTAACAACGAGCTGGTAGCGAGACGTCGGCTACTCCAGTAGAACACTACAGTTAAGTACCTTTTGGATTACTCTAATAGACTATATGGTCTACAAAATTTTGCAGGTTATACTCACATACATATGTAAATACATATATGTACATATGAATTTGTTTCTGCCTGTGTTTGCCGGTATTAAATGTGTTGATAAGTAATTTGTATGCGACGCGTTAATTGCATTTTTCTTCATTTATATATGTAAATATGTAATTATGTATGTATAGTACAGACATTTGTGCTTTCGCGATTATCAATTTTCTAATTGCCATTGAATAAGCAAGTGTAAATGTATATATTTGCATGGAAAATATTCATATGCATATAAACATATGTACACGTACATATAGAATTGAGGTTAATGTACCAGAAAATTACAAAGCAAAAAAAAAAAAAGAAAAAAAATAAAAATAAAAATAAAAAAATAAATAAATACAGAAACATGTATTCAAATATACGTATACGTATGTATGTATGCACTCATAGAAATAAATAGTAAATATGTAGCTACATATTTATCGCCTGTTATAATCGCCTCATACTTTGGCTCCTTTGCTGGCAGACAGACAGCTGGCGCCAACGAGCATGTGATAACTCCATAACCTTGAACTTGAACTTCAGTTTGGCCCATATTTCAATAACACAATTGCTGTCATATATAATTATATATATATATAATAATATTATTATTTATATGCATTCATATGCACTGCATATAAATCGGATAATGCGGCTTACTTTTTTTTTAAAGTAATGACATTCAATTGAAGATTCAATTATAACATTAAACATTGTCTTTCAGCGATTAAACATAAGCTGTTAACGGCTTAACATTAACTGTTGACTATTTAACATTATTTGTTCAGAATTTAACATTATATGTTAACGTTTGCCTTTATCTGTTAACGATTCCATGCTATCTGTTAATGATTTAACATTATTTAACATTATCAGTCGAATTCTGTCGAAATAACAAAATTTGCTTTGGTATTAAAACTTACCATTTAGTAAATTTCGTGACTATTTCGTATTCTGAGCTCACCGCTACCCCGTAAATTTTGTTACCAGCGAAATGGGAAGTAACAAAAAATCGACTTTTTGGTTTCGTGTTGTTAGTTTGAGAAAAACTAAAAACCAAAATGGGTAGGCATATTTTGGGCCTGGAATTCATTGAAGTTGAGGAGAAAAAAAAGAGTAAAAAGGCGTATACTAAGAAGTTTGCGAGAAACAAATGACCCTTTTAATCTGGAAGATGGGGGTTTTTTTTCGTTTAGGCATATTTTCCAAAATTAGTTTCAAAGATTTATGATTTAACAAACAAATAAATAAAACTTATTTCTTTTGTTGTGCGCCGTCTTCTATTTTGATGTGAATAATTTTCTTGTTTACTTTACCAACTGGCAAATGTAATATGACAAGGACGAAAAAACCAAAACTTTTCAAACATTGTAACCAGAATACCAAATCGTATGTTAAAAAAAAGTAACAAAATTTACAGTGAGAATAGGCCTGTATTTAACTGTTAAATATTTAACATTATCTCTTAACGACTTAACATCATCTGTTAACGATTTAACGTTATCTGTTAACGGTTTAATAATTTCTGTTAGCGATTTAACATTATCTGTGAACGATATGACATTAACTGTTAACGATTTAACATTATCTGCGAACGATTTAACATTTTCTGTTAACGCTAGAACATTATCTGCCAACGGTCTAACATTATCTCTAGTGTAATCCAATCGCAGTGATAGAACGCGCGGTACAGACTAATAATGGATTTCGTTTTACTAGTCCCAATATTTACAAAAATTACAAAATTTTTAGCTACAATGCGGCATATAGGCAAAATAGGTGCTAATTGACTATTAAACCCGTGAAACAACATGTTTATGGGAGCATAGAAACAGCATGCGTACATAAAATATACATATGTATGTATGTACATTTAACATACATATAATGAATATGAGGGAAAAATGGGCTGTATGACGTGTAAATGAGTGAACTAATTATGTTGGAAAAATACTGTATCTTCAGACAAAATAATATATTTTTGAAAAACATTTTATTGAAAAAGATATGAAAATTAAACCTAAAATGAACTGTAAAAAAATTTCAATAATAAAAAATGATTAATTGAAAAAAACTTTATTATTTTCAAAATATCACGCTGAAGCAAAAAAAAAGCACATGTTGCTACAAGAATTATGATTCATTCATAGATGAAATTAATTTAAGCATTTCAAATGAATATCTCACAGATTACTCAGGTGATTGTTGAAATGTCAGTGAAATCATCCTAAAATCTCTTGATGAACATAATAATAATTAAGGAAAGAAACATGCAGTATAATTTATTACCTTTTGGTATAGTTGTCACATAATAATAATATAGCTCGGACTTGGTCTTAAATAAATCGGAGACATAAAAATTTCCGGTGTGTTCCTGGCAGGTTTCATTGTGACCTTCACAAACGCCACATCTGTCTATAAAAACGTAAAAATATTGCATTGTAAAATTTTTGTTAGAAAATAAAACCAAACAAAAGCATATAATACAGGGTTCCCCAATAAGAGGTGTTATTTTGATATTCAAAGAAAAATTACATTTTTTGAGATAAATAAACGAATGTTTATTTTAATGTGAATACGAAGATATGCCATTAATAATGGAAAGCAATATCAGCCAATTGGGCTATATCCATTTTAAAAAATGTTCCATCGCCAAATCGCATGCACACAATAGCTTCACGAATTCCAACTTTGAGGTGTTGAATCGACGTTGGCCTGTTGTGGTATAACTTATCCTTCACGTGGCCAAAAAGGAAGAAATCGCAAGGTTTTAAATCACAAAATCTCAGTAGCCAATTGCGTTGACCTCTACGAGTGATAACAAATTCCGGAAACTTTTTCCTCAAAAGATCGATAATTTCATTAATTGTGTGACGCATAGCGAAGTCTTGTTGAAAGTAAACATTGTTCGGATCAATACCATAAAATTTCGGCCATAAAAAATCATTAATCATCTCTCCATAGCGCAATCCATTCACCGTAACAGTTGCTCCAGCCCCTTTCTGGGAAACGTATGATCTCGCCGGACCATAAAACTGCACGAAACAGGTACACCTTGAGAATGAGGTAAGGCTTTTCAACAAACTTTTTTGGGTTTTCGAGCCCCAGATGTGACAGTTTTGCTTAGTGACATGACCATCGCAGTGGGAATGGCCCTTTCACTTAATATAATTTGTCGTTGAAATTTCGTGTAATTTTCATGCATTTAAAAAATCTAATCAGAATAATCAGAAAAGACTTGACCTTATTGATGACCGCCCGGATTTAGTTCTTGTGTTAACTAAATTTTATAAGCCTTGAGACCCAAGTCGTGCTGCACAATACGGTGTAAAGACGTTTGTGGGTTACCGAACTCCAAAGAATGACGTGGAATGGACAAATCTGGATTTTCTTCAACACTTTTGGACTTCAGTCGCAGAATTTTCAGTTGTTCTTGTCTCAACAACTCCATTTTTTTCCACCAACTTCTACATTGCAGTCCGATAAGATGCTTCCCGAAAACCGAAAAATTGAGTTAGTTTACTCACCGTCTCTGCCAGGTTTTTTCCCCATTTTTATAGTTAATTTTAATTATTTCATTGCGTTGATGAAGCGTGTACCATTCGATTTTAATTTCTGACGTAGTTTTTACTTGTAAAATGTCAAAATAAATAACGCCACTTATTGGAAAACCCTTTATAAACTATATATGTATACGTGTACATTTACTGCTCGCAAAAGAACCTTTAGAATATGCCACATTAGCGCGTGAAGATTGTATGATTCATTTGCGTATGTCCATACATACATACATACATAAATATTTCTAATATATGTATGTATGTGTATGTCTTTTTGGCAAATCACCTTGCCTATCCATCAGCGCTTGGCCACAACAACGGTTCATCTCCGGCCATACGCTCATAAATACAAAAACTCGTATACATACATATGTATTGTATATATTGTATTATATATACAGTATAATGATGTCCGTCGTGCGAAACAAATGAATTTGTTTATAATTAAGTAAATAAATAATAGTTCATTCTCTTTTTGGCAAATTACCTATTTTCGCCAGCGAGTTCAGCTCATGGTCACAACCTGCCGGCCGGCAAATGCCATTGACACACTTGTCAAAACTGTCCAATGAGCATGTGGTGCCGTCTTTAACCTTGTCCGCGAGTTTAAAGTACGCGCTGTTATCTTCCAAACGGCAAAATAATTTGCATTTTTCTGACGAGGACACTGGGGGCACCGAGTGAGAGAGGGAGAGAGAGAGAGCGAGAGAGTGAGAGGAAAAATTAATAAATAATGCAAAAAGAAAGTTATTTTGTTGATATCATTGAAGAGCAAAGAATGAGTAAAATTGTCAATTTCAATGCAGGCTTTAAAGCTTTTGAAAAGCTTTTCAAAACTGCTAATGTTAACAGCGCCATATTTTCATACTACTTACAGCCATACTTCGGTATCCATTTTGCCGAGCGTGCAATACCCTTACTGGAGAAGTTTCTACCATTCATTTCGTAACATTGCTGTTCGCGTGAATCCAATGTACCCGGCGGACATGCGTGCGTATTGCAGGAGCGATATTTCTTACGACTACCCGAACAATATTTCCCACCATTCTTCGGCAAAGGATTATTGCATTCGCGCTGTGATTCTTGTACGCCACCACCGCAAGTAAGACTGCAAGGTGTAAATGCACTCCATGCGCCCCAACCGCCTTGCACCACTTGCAATGATTTACCCTCACGCGGTACACATTCACCCTTCTGACACCAGAAACGATCGTTGTTGCATGGCGTGCCATCAGCCCAGGGCAGATTGCTGCTACGGCAATCGCTTCGACTACTGTCCGTTTTACACCACAACCGCTTGCACTCCTCATCGATGCGACAATAACGCGATTGATTTCCATGTATTAGTTGGCACTGATGATTGAGTGAGTAGATCTCGCCCGGCAGTTTGGTATTGAAATTTTTTATATAGAATGTGGGTGTGTCTTCAAGGCAGGATTTGTCTTCTTTTCTAAATTCGGTATAAAATTAAAAAAATTACAAATTGATAAATTTGAAAGTGATTTCAAACAAATGAATCTTATTGTATATTAAAATGTGATTTATAACGGTTTCAGTAAAAAAAAAACTCCTAATTTACTTACTCTAAAAATTCTGAGACATAATTACGTGAACAGTCTGACCACGACCACGGATGTATATCGCTGCCCATAATACTCGACATAATATGCATTTTATTCTTCGTGCCCGGCCGATTGAATGGCTTACAGAGGTCGTCATCATCGTGTGGCATATTTAAGCTGTGTGGAAGGGCGGGAATGAAAGATGACATGACAAAATTTAAATAAACGTAAAGGCAAAGTTTAAGTTTTATGTACTTATAAAAATATGTTTATAATATATACATGTATGTATGTATATATAACAAATGTGTTGACTTACACATGACCCAACTCATGGGCGATCGTAAATGCGGCTGGCAGTCCGTTATCTTGTACTATGGCGCACGATCGTCGCTTGCAGACAGTGCCCAGTTCAGCCAGACCCAAAGTATCGCAGGGCTCACCTTCATTACGGCAAATTTGATCGCTGTAAAAAACATTATTTTTTTTATTAAATCTGGTACTAGAATTTTGTTTAACAAAATTTCTTTAGAATCTCAATTACGTTTATATTTTGCATGAATAAATTTAGATTACCAGCGTCTGGTGTAAACAAATAAAAAAGGCTATAAATTCAGATTGAAAAATTACTTTTCATCAGTTCAAAGTCAAAAATGTGTGAAAATAATATAAAATTCGGAAACAATTCTCTATTGCTCGATTTGACCACCCAAGCTGCAACTACTCAGACTTGAGTGAGCGAAGTAGTAGCTTAGTCGAAGAGGTAAATTTCCGATAATTGTGTTTTCTGATGAGAAAATGTTTACAGCTGAGCAATCCCTAAACTCTTAAAACGATAGGGTTCATTTGACCGTCCATTCGTACAATAATTTGAGTCATCAAATGGTCAACAGGAGGCAGCACCCGCCTATATCCGCAGATGGGCACTCTCTAATCATTACTATCGAGCCCGGCGTCAAGATAAATACGCAATAATAACGGAAAAGTATTCTGGTGGTTGCTCTGGAGCCGTAGGTATACAAAGATTTCAGTGACCCACCATGGACGTTTCAATAGGACTCGTCACAGTCTCATAAAGCTCGACTGAACTAAGAATGGCTGAAAGCCAATGCTACGACGTTTCTTAATGTCCACATAATTGATCTCGACTTCCACAAACACGAGGTGTGATCTAAAAGTTACACCAGTCTCGAGGCGCTGAAGAAAGCAATTCGGGCAGCTTGCGATACGTTTTTGGACTGTCGCAAGGCCATGGTCAAGGCAAAAAGCCAAAAGTAAATCTTTTCCGAATTTGTATTATTTTCAAACATTTTGTACTTCGAATTAATTAAAAATAGTTTTCCAAACTGAATTTATGGCCCTTTTAACTGGTTACACTTTGAGTGCTGGACCCTGTATAGAAAAAAGTGCTAGAGAATTTCGGAGGAGTTAACGCTGAACAGCTATATGCCTACTCCTGCCAAGAGTACTCGAACTATTCCAATTGATCGGTATCTCAGCCCCAACTCGGCGAATGTTGGTTTCCAAGTGGTTAAAAGTTAAAGATTCATCTGCATAAGGATGGACTTTCGAGTAGTCTCACAAAAGTGTGAAAAGGTGTCAAATTGTAGGATCTCGGTGCCCAATTGACATCGCCTAGACGAGAGATTACGCGGCCGGGGAATTTCTCTCGCAATAAAGCCCATATTGTGGGGCATGGGCCACTATCATGAAACTACATTTGTTCAAGTCGACTTCATATGGATTTAGGTGTAAGGCCAAGTGTAAAAACGCCATAATGTGCCGTAAGAAAATCCCAGGTTTTAGGAATGTCAAGAAATATACAAATGCGAGTCTTCGGCTACATCTCACTTACGGTTGGAATATTTTCAGAGGAACGAGCAAAATGATGATGCCCTTTATTCTCCGTAACTTTGAAGCCACGGAATGGATAACCTTATAATGTCACTAATCTTGACTTTTGAATTTTATATTAAAACTCACCGTGTAATGAGCATTGCCGTATCGTAATGATATCCTTGTTTCGAAACAACACCACAGAATTCCTTTAGCATTGCTGAAGCCGATGTAGCTGAATAAAAAAAAAAAAAAACAAACAAAAATAATTATAGAAATAAAGTAGCACATTAATACAATGTTATCACTCTCAATCCTCTTCGCATTCTTCGCATTTGTGTAAGAAAATAATCAAACATTTCCAATAAACTCACCTTTTTTCCTATCATCGCGCAATATCAATATATTTGCTACAGTTATATATATCGAATTACCAATACTAGCATCTGCGTATATATTCGATACAATCGATATCAGCGTGAGAATGTATGATTTCAAATCGCTACCATGAAATTCACTCATTGTCTTATCAACAGCAACCAAAACTTCCATGGTGAAGACATGACGATCAACATAGTTACGCTTTTTACGATTCAACCTTGTGAATAGACTCTCTTCGAGTTCTTTCAAATCCATGTCGAATGAATCGCCGGCGACGGCATGTCTAGCATTGCGACGCGAGTGACGCCACACTTTGTGCAACACCTCCGAATCGGCATCGCTGGTCTGATTGACCGGTTGTATGAGTAGTGAGCCGAAACTCGTTTTAATGTAACCGGTCTGATGGCAGAGAGTGAACGAAACAAATACAAACATAACAATAAATGAAGAAAACAAGTAAATAAATAATTTCGAAAAATAATACTGAGAGAAAAATATATGTATATTCTTGTAAGAACAGATGGAGTGCCAGCAAAATAAATTTAAAAAAATATTACAATATAAAAAAAATATAAATAAAAATAAAAATAAAAATATATATTTCTGCTTTTATTATTTTTAAGGTCAATAAATATTTGGAGTTGTTCGACAACTTACCATGCCGTTGCAGAGTGAGACGGACACTGTGGATTGTTCATCGCCTTGCACTACGCCCTTGTAATAGCACCCTAAATAATGACCATTTGCTTCGTCTTCCTCGTCTTCTTCTTCGGTTCGATTGTTAAGTATACGAATTACCTACGAGGCGAAAACGAAGAATTTGAAATTTCAATTATAAAAATGTTTTAATATTTCAATATTTAAAATTCTTTAGTGAAATGTAGGAAAGCCGTCACTGTATTGTATTTAATTTTTTGTCTTTTTTTGATTTTTCTTTAAATTGTCTATATTTTACAACTAGTGTTGTATTTAAAAATTTCTCAAGATTTTTTTAGATTTACTCACACTAAAGGTTTGGGGTGGTATGAACGATGTGTCTTGATATAGAACCAAATGCAATTCATGACCAAAAGCGTTTATTATGTATTCGGGATGTGGATCCCATATTTGACTAGATTTACTACGAAATGTACCAGTTTCATCGAATGCTGAATAATAATCTGAAATGAAGAAAATAAATAAAGAAGTGGATATTTAAATACAATAATAAAATGACTTAATGCATTTCCTTTTTTTTAGAAAAGTAGTTTTCTACACTTTGCCAATACATATATTTTACTCAACTATTAGATAGTACAGTGTTAACCATTTTGCGGTTACGAAAAGAAACATATATGAAATTATTTTTCTTTTTTTGTTGAAACCCCTTTTTTTAATTTTAACTTGACGACATCGCGAATTTTTATGACCGTTTAAGATAACCACTTTTTGGCTCATATTGGGCTACATCTCAGTCATAACTTGACAAATGTTGATTTTCAAATACTCAAGAGCTAAAGGTTTATCTTCATAAACCTCTCTCAAGTAGCACGATTTCGGTGACCAATTGATATCGCCAAGACTACGATGCCTCATATTCTACTAAAAGAAACAACGTTTGGTTTGACAGTTAAGTTTGACAGTTAAGTTTGACAGTTAAGTTTGACAGATGTCAAAATAGAGCACTGTCCTTTGAAACCACGAATCGGATAACCCTAAATAACTCACGTTACAACATAGGGGATTCATAAAGAACGGTGAAAAGTTCAAATTAAGCTTAAATAACGAAAAAAAATGTATTAATTATTATTATAATTATACTAATGTACTATTAATAAATCTAGATATTTATTGAACATATTTTTTTCGCCCTAAAACTTGTGGTTTCGTTCAAGTAAAATCTGTCAATTGAAACCACCGTAGAATCGAGCTTTTGCTGGAAACCACTTGAAAGCTTAAGTTCATTCCATGTTCATTTCCAACGAATTTTTATTATATTAAAATAATAATTTTGAGAAAAATGGTAAGCTTATTATTATTATTATTATTATTATTATTATTATTATTATTATTATTATTATTATTATTATTATTGTTGTACTTAGAAGTTTGTTGTATAAAAATAGAATCGTGAAGATTACAAACAATTTCTCTTTGAATAATCTCGAAAAAATATTGCAAGGAATTTCGGATTATTTTCCTAATATCAATGCTTTCATGATAGCCGCACAAGTCACTTATGTACGATTATTTTTATCATTAGTGATTTATTATTTATTTATTTCAAAAGTTATTTTAGATTCTAATTGAGTGTAGGTACAAATATCTTTGCCCCCGATGCGCATTGGGTGATTTCGCCGATTTTTATTTAAGCTAAATGAACCAATTTCCGATAACGTTTATGTCCCAGCATTCTTGTGAATACATATGTATATATCCTCTCACGATTTTTGTTGTTGCATCTTGATGTTTTTCCAACAAATGGAGGGACCACCTTCGAACGTCTGAAGAGCTTTCAATTCATGTCAGAAATATACTCGGAGGGGTTGACACAGCCTGCTGTGGGTTGACCGTAATAAGAAAAATTAATTTTCTATTATTTTGGATGCTTGTCGAACCACAACTCGAACTCTGGCCTTCAGAATGGCAGTGCGCAATGCTAACCCGTTCGCTTCCGGTAGCGTTGTTACTTGAATATTATTATCATGAAATATTATTTATTCCAATATCAAAAGCTGTTTACGCAGAATTTTCACTTTCAAGTTGAACTTTTTATTGATACAGAAGGCTAATAGACATTATATACGGGTATGTACTTATAGGCTTTACGATTTAATAGCTGAATTTCACTTACTTTTCGTTACACTACTTTTATTGCGATTTGACTCATAGAGCATATCATCTTCGCTTAATCTGGAATTATAGACCTTTCTCGGCGTTACAAAATCACTGGTGAAATCATCCGGAATGCTATTGTTTATATCGCCAATATCGTCTTTTATGTCTTCTGAAAATATTAAAAAAAATATAAAAGTAAATATGCAATATTATAGAGGGTATCTGAGCAAAGTTATGAAAGTTTAGGGGAAAAAAAATTATTTTCATGAAATTATTACTATGGAGCTTCCATAAAGTGCATTTTCTTCTAGCCTACGATATACAGTAGCTCTCCGATTTAACGGACATTCAATTCCAAGAAAGTCCTATATAAAGAATATGATCATTTCTCACATTGAATAACAAATAGGTTTACTGAGACATTACCCAGTTTAATGAACAACGTACAAAATGCAATGCATATTATACGCGAAAATGAAGATCTACGCCAACAGGCCAACGTCGAATTCGTGAAGTTATTGAGGGTATACAGCAGCCACCTTCCGATCTGGTGCTGGACATTTTCATAGAAGGATTGCTGCACTGTAAGCGTAGCCGTGGCGGCTACTTGGCTGATATTGTTTTCCAGTATTAATGGCATATCTCCTCTTTGCATTCAAATAAACATCCGATTTTTTAACTCAAAAAATGCCATGTTTCTTTGAATTTCAAAATAACAACCCTTATTGGAAAACACGAGGTCTAGAAGATAGAGACAGACCTTGTGCTAATAACAAATGAAACGATCTGCTGTTTTTTCAGTAGAGTCGTTGTTTTCTCTTTCTTTTTTTTATTGATTTCAGTAATGTGTTTATTTATGAATTTCTTGTTTCTACTTACCGTCATCGGTCCACTGTTCATCACCTATGAATGAATGATTTATAAAAATCGTTTGTATATCGGGCGAATCGATTATGGGCGGACTTTCCGTACTACTCAACCAATTAACTGATTTATTCGCAATACCATTCGATATATGTGCAACTTTATTGTTACTACTATTATTACTATGTACGCTATGTACGCTGTTGCTTCCTGGCTGGCACCAAATAATCAAGCCCAATAAGAGGGCGAACAGCAATACGCAGCATATGAGAAATGCATTCTGCTTCCAATGTGTCGACATATTGCGGCATTTATTTTTATAAAACCACCATTCACAAGTTTTTTTAATAACAAGCTGGAAGGAGATACAAAAGAGATGGGGAATAAATTAGAAAAATTAGTATGGCCTGTATTTTGAAATAATAATGAAATAATTAAAATTAATATATGAAAACCAAATAAAATTTATTGAAAGAAATTGAAACTCAGTGAACTGCTCTTCTTACGGTATAACAAAATTATAGAAAAACTACGTTAATATTTTAAAATTGAAATATTTTACTGTTGTATAAGCGCGGCTTGCTTTTAACACTCTAAATTATTTTCAGCTCGACCTAAGCCCTTAAACTGAATTGTAAACATTTTTTTTTTTTAATTTTTTGTATTAATTTAAATTTTTTGTTTAGTTTTTTTTCTTTATTAAATTTTTATTTATAATTTCAATATATTAGAAATTCATTGCATAAGCACTTGAAAGTGTCGGTACGTGCTTACTCCGCCCAGTACAGACAGACAAGGCACAAGCGCGTTCATCTTTAAATAAATATACGGATATGCATGTACATATGTATGAATATATACAGGCATTTATGATGCGCGTAGGCGGGTGTTAAGGCATGTAGTCTAACACAAAGCATAAGCTGAAAGCTAAGGTTGTAAACGCTTGCTTGTGATACTTGTTAATTAACATAAATACATATATTTATATATCAATATTTTTATAAATATTTTATTGATATATACATATATACAGTCGCTGTTAGGCTTATAAAAAAAGTACTTCTTCTTTGAAACTGCTCTCTTCGATATTCCTCAATCAAGTGTAGTTACGTTTGTTACGCAATTTCCGATAACTAATATTTCTTACGGGCAATTTAGAGGTACCGCTATAATTTAAGACGTAAATAAGTGCAAAAATTCCATGCAGTCAATAGTTTGTGTTATTAAGTTTAGTATATTTGATCAAGTAAAAAGTAGTCCATTATTTTTGTTATAGCGCGCTTTAATGATCTGTTTCTCGCCTACTCTTAAGTGCGATTGCATTGCGCTAGATAATATTGAAAATATTATGGTCACCTGCAAAGAGAAAATACGTAATATTCTATAATATTTCATCGATTATGCTGAAAACACTAGTCAGAAGCTGGAAATGTGTATAATGTTTATGGTCCTGATGATATAACAGACCATTCTGGTTTCTAGTAATTTTGATGCATAAGACGATCCACGATGTGGAAGGACAATTGTCGAAAATGTCAATAAAATAATGAAAATCGTCGAATCTGAGGATTAAATTGCTTGGAAGCTAAAAACTGCACAAAACCCAGTTTCAAACCACTTGAAAAAGGCACCATGTGTAATTGCCAAATGAGTTAATGAGAAAAACTTCATGGACCGAATTTCCATTTCAAATTGAAATCAACCCATTTCTGAAACGGATGGTGACTGCTGCTGAAAAGTGAAACACCTACAGCAGCGCAGGTAAGCCGGTATGAGCGATCGGCAAGCCAGGTCAGGAAGGTTTTATTGAGTGCTTGGTGGGATTGGCAAAGAATCATCTAGAGGTGCTTAGAAGTGCTCTACTTTGGCATACAAAAGAAGAATTGTATTTCATCAGGACATCGCCAGACCAAACAGATGGATAGTGATTCAAAAAAAGCTTCGAGAGCTTGGTTGGGAGGTTCTTCTTTTACTTCTATCTTATAGTTCAGAGCAAGCGGCAAGTTTTTACCATCTGTTCCTGTCTTTGGCAACTGATTTGCTCTCGAGAGAAGCCTGTGAAAACCCATTTCCCCAATATTTTGCCAATAATTTTTTCTTTGTTCTATGTTGCATACTCTTCGGCAAGCATTGCATTCGTAGAGATTAGAAGATATTCTCTGGCATGCATTAAGTATTCGCCTACTTGTCTTGTTTTTAATGTCAGCCGTATTAAAAGTGAAGTACGCCCTCAACCATCATACAGCCTTAAATTGTGACATCTCGGGTTGGAGAATATGACATTCCGGAATGCTACGCACTTCAAAAACTTCATGCATACCAACAAAACCCAGTTGCTACTTCTGTTGCCGGTTAGTAAGCAGTGTTTTTCAGCCTTCAGCATTAGCCTCAGGGTTGCGCAGAACGGCTCGCTTTGGGGTTTAGAAAGGATCAATAAAATATATAACATTTAAAAGCTTGCTTTTGATAGGTTCAATAGTTGCTCTTTGCCTTTTAACAAATATCAGTTATAGGAAATTTTATAACAAATACAACACTTGAGTAAGCAACGTGTGGTTTTGTTATTAAAAGCCTTACAGAGTTGCATTTGCCGAACATGGGGTGAATATGAAGAACATTTCGCCCGCCAACTTCCGCGTTGCCCTTAAATTGTAGCTTTACAATCGGACATATGTATATTTAATACATACATTATTTATACTTGACTTCTTTCTGAAAATTTCGAGCACCTCGGCACGTTTTGCAACAAACTGAACGTTGAAAGCTTTCAAGAGTTTTTAAATATAATGTACAATGTGCCCTTTTTTATTAATACAAAAGTATTTACATACAAACACTGAAGGGGAAAAGTTTCTGGTTTCTATTTTTTTTCTTCGAGTACAAAAACTCTTTGAAAAAAATTTTTGGACACCACAGTTTTATGCTTGTATTTATATACATCACTTCTACTTTTTTATATATCTTTTGTTGTTATTTCCTTTTATTTTATTCCACCAAGTTGAGTTGCCATTCTAATTAGCTGCGTCTCTACTGGTTGTTTTGTTGTTTATAATTTTATTAAAGCAATTTTTTATCAATTTAAAAAATTTGTAGTTCACTCGGAAGCAAAATATCTATCGAAATTTTACGAGGGTTAGTCAGAAAGTGAGTGAAGATATTCAATTTTTATTGAGTTTGAAATTGTTTATCCACAAAGAAAAAAAAAAAAAAAACATATATGATATTTCCATACATAATACAAGTTAAACAAATGGTTAAGCGGGGCAGCACCTCATTGATGCCTTCATCGAACCGTGTCGTTCATTTTTCACCGTAATTTTTGTTTGAAAGCCTTTTTGCACTCAGGTGCAGCAGGAAGGTAAAGATATAGCAATCTGACTGATGATAGAGCAGGAAAAGAAAATGCGTGGTATGATTCAGCATATTCCGTTAAAACAGCGGGGCTGTTATGGTTTGACATTTTCGTGAAGCGTGCAGACTTCTTTCATCAGCTTTGCCTCTACTCTCGCGCTCTCTGCAAAATTTTTTTTTTTTTTGGGTGTCACAGCATTTTGTATGGGATTGTTCACGAAATGTGTTGCCGCTGTGACAGCTCTCAACGTACTCAACATAATGGCCGCGCTCTAATTGCAAAGAAGAGAAGTCTGGGTACACTAAAGCGTTGCCAAAAGTATGAAAATATAATCTCTTCGGTCGTTAAAGCCGCAGTACACTAACTTGCTGGATATGCCTCGTCATATGTGGTATGGAACTGTGGTGAATTTACTGAATATTAAGTGCATTTAAATAAAATTAAATTTTTACACACCAACCACTTCTAAAGAGCCCACTGTTTTAAGTGCTTAGCATACATTCTAGCCACCTATCAGCTACTTAACTAGATATCGAAAATGAGGATGAGAGACCATAAAATTATTGTATTATGTATGATATTTTAATTGAAATTTATGACGTCTCTGGCAAGCGCAACAGGTTTCGCTGAAACTGGCCACGCGTTAACTCAGCTGAAAGAGTGTTGGTAGAGGTAGACATCTACTAAGTCTTGTTAAATTTGTAAGACAAAAACAAAAAATGTATTAAGTAGCTGAATTGCTTACAAGGTCTCGAAGAGGCTTTTCGTATATTTTAGTAAATCAAGGTCAAGCCCTTATTGGTGTGAGGAGTAGAGCAAGTTAATGAACAAATTAATTGACAAAAATTAAAAAATATTTTGAAATATGAATAATATATTTATGTATTAATTAATACATTTATATTGTCTTTTAATTGTCTACAACTTCATTTCGCCTTAGTAGATGTCAGTATGGGCTATCTTTGAGGTTCAGTTTAACTTCATATTTTTTGTAAAAGGAATTAATTTTTTTTTATTAAATTTATAATAAGAGAAAAATTCATTTGCAATTCTTGCCATACTTGATTTTATTGATTTTCTGTAAAAGGCAAATTCAAATTGCTAAAACAAAGTGCAGTCTTTTGGCAGTTCAGAGCCAAACAAAGATCTAAGGTATAAAACCAATAAAAACGGAACAATATCACATTACCGGACACTTGTTTGTTGAGCACGCTGCTCAGGCAAATACACAAAACACATTAAATATATTTAACACATTTACAAGTTTATTTATTTATTTATGCTTCAGCGCGAGCTGTGCGGCATTCTTGTTTATTTATTACTTACTTTTTGTTTTTGTTTTTTTTTTTTACTTTTTTTTTATTAAATTAATGTATTCGTTTTGTATACAAATAATAGACTTGGCTTTATAGCTTGAAAAAAGTAAGAAATACTAATGACTTGTTAGATACATTGTTGTATGTTTGCTTGTATGTATGAGTAACCTAAAGCGACGACATGCAGTCTGAGTGTTAAGAGTGAGTGCTGCGAAAAAAGTTGTAAATACCCTCCAGGGGAAAATACTAGTTGTCAACTAGAATTCAACTAGTTAACAGTTTTACACCACCTGGTTGATCTTCATCCACTTTCCATAAAAGCAACTGATATTTTTAACACGGCGATGTTCTACGAGCTAACAATTGCTACTTTGCATCAGCTTCATACCAGTTAAATACTAGTTCATTTAGACATGTTGAATTTCTACTTCACAAAAACCAAACTAAATCGAATAAAATCTAGGTTAAGATTGCGGCTTCATTCTTTTTCGTAAGTAAATACAAAATGAATAAGGTAGACATCTTATTGAAAGCGACGCGGGCAAACATCAATAATATTTGTAGTTGTAGATTTTGAAGTAAATTGCATACAATCAAGTTTAACTTCGATCTTGATTATTAACGCCACATTCTTAAAAGCGTGTTGTATACTCCCATTTTGAATGCCAGGATTCTAGGACTCGAGTC